TAGCAACACTGCACCTCGTGGTCGCGCTCTCTCTTGCCTTCCAAGAAGACCTGCACTCTGTCTACAGAGTGTGTATCTACCTTTACTTTACCCTTTACTGTAATCATCCTCCCCACCCCCATGTACATCTCTTCTCATCTAAAAAGATCTGAAAATGAGTGATGGTTTTTGCTTTACTTAATCTTTTTCCAGTATGTCAGGTGGTGGGTTGGGCTGATGAGAGCTGATGCAGCATTGGCTCTGGATCCTCTGACAGCGTTCTGCATTCTGCTCAGCCTAGAGACCAAACTTTTGCTTAAACTAAGTTGAAAATAGTCATACAGTTTCATGGTGAGGGACCATTCAAACTGGAAGGAGGGTGGGACAGAATCCAGTTCAGTCTGTTTTGCTGATGGAACTACAGTTGAGGGACAATAAATGATTTCCCAAAGGTCACATAACTGTCACAGTCAGACCGGCTGGTTTTTTCACCACAGCACATTTTAGTAGGAAGAAACCAGCCCTCCAGAAAAATTACCTTGCTCTTTTAGTCCTTTATATGTGTTAGCCTCCAACTTGGAGCAACCAGTGTTTATGAATAAATCACCTTCTGTGAAATTAGATTGCCCTCTTAAGAGTGAATTATAATATTAACCAGCACTGGCTTCCTTAACTGCTGAAACATGGCCTTGAGCTGTTGAAAAGTTTCCTTCACTTTGTATGTCAAATTGTGTTCACATGGGCTGTATTAATGGGCACATTAAGTCACATGCTAATTTTGTGATCTCGACCAATGAGATTAACATATCTAGAGAGATGAAAAGATTTCAACTTGAAGACTTTGGACTGCAAATATAAAACAGGGGCAGGGGAGCTAATGTTGGAGTTGACCTGTATCCTGCTCAGAGCAGGGGAGAGGAAGGCTTGGCCAGGGTGTTGAGAAATTCATTTCAATTGTGAAAGTTCTATCTCAGGGAATAGGTGCTCCTTTCTTGAATTTTCTTGGCTTCCTTGTTTTCTTCTGACCTCTTGGACCACTCGGTCTCTCATCTTGCTGTTTCCGACTCTCCCATCTGACTTGTAAATGCAGAAGTTGCTGAGAGCTCATTCATTGTCTTTTCACTCAATACTTTGTCCCAAGGTGATCTCATTCACACTGTTGAATTTCGAGATTCATCACTCTACCTCAGATCACTTTTCTGACTCAAAATATCTATCTGAATTTCCAACTAGATGTCCCAAGATTATCATATATACATGTTAAAAATTATATTCTTCATCTCTTCATCATAACCTCCTCCAATCTGCTCCTCCTTCAGATTTTTCCAGCTCAGAAAATGGCAACTCCACTGCCCAGCTACTCAAATCAGAAATGTGTTTTCGTCCTTGAAATCTCTCTCTTATTCCCCTTTCAACCCACCACCAAGTTACATTTTTACTTCTTAAATATCTCTGGAAGCCAACAGTTCCTCTTTGTCTTCACTACCACAGTCTTGGTCTATGCCACTATCTTTACCTGGACGACTATGGTAGTCTCCTAAATGGTCTCCCCGCATTGTCTCATTCTTCCACCTCAATCCATGTAGGAAGTGATCATTTAAAAACATTTTCGCATTGTGCCACCTCTCTGCTTAAAGCACATCAGTGGCCCCTGCTTCCCTCCACATCTTCACCTTGCACTTCCTCCCTTCTCTAAGTACACTCCAGCCCCAGAGGCTGCCTTCCTCTTATGGGCTGAGGGTTTCCTGCCCCAGATCCTTTACACATTTTATTCTCTCTGGTTGGATTCTTTTCCCTCCACAATATTTCTCTTCCCCGTCACTCATTCTTTAGTCTACTTTTAAATGTCAGATCCTCAGAAATGTATCCTCTTAACTATAAAATAGTACCCCCCCTTTTTCTTTCAAATCACTGATTTCAATTTCTAGTTAAAAATGCATTTGTGTGATTATTTGTTTTCCAACATAGTTACTTTGTTCTCTCTTCTGCCCAGCAACCAGAACAGTTTCTGGCATGTGGTGGACAGTTAGAATTTGCAGAATGACAATGAATGAGCTATATTTGCTGAAGAGATTTTTATAATCTAAATTATTTTTGTTTTGCTCTTTTCTAGCCAAGATATTCTTTTGATTACCATTTTTCTTCCCACATAGCTTGATATCTAGGAGAGAATGCACTGATCATTTGAGAGATATCTCTTAGTTTAATAAGTAATGTTCACAACACCTTTTCATGATAGAAACACACACACACACACAAACCAAAACTAGGAATAGAAGGAACTTAACATAATAACAGCTATATACCAAAAACCTACAGTGAAAATCATGGTGAAAGATCAAAAGCTTTTCCCCTAAGATCAGGAAAGAGGCAGGGGTGCTTGCTTTTACCAGTTCTATTCAACACAGTTCTACAAGTTCTAGTCAGAGCAATTAGGCAAGAAAAAGACATAAAGGCATCCAAATCAGAAATGAAAAAGTAAAAATATCTGCAGATTATTTGCTATCCCATGTAGAAAACTCTAAAGATTTCATACACAAAAATCTGTTAAGAATTAATAAATGAACTCAGCAAAGTAACAGAGATATAAGGTCAACACACAAAAATCAGTTGTATTTCTATAAGCTATGAACAATCTAAAAAGGAAATTACAAAAACAATTCCCTTTACAATAGCATCAAATATACTTAAAAATAAACTTAACCAAAGAAGTTAAAGACTTGTATAGTGAAAATTACAAAACATTGCTGAAAGAAATGAAAGAAGACAAAAATAGATGGAAACACAGCCCACATTCATGAATTGGAAGACTTAACATAGTCAAAATGTCAGTATCACTTAAACCAATCTACAGATTCAATGCAATCACTATCAAAATCCCAATGACCTTTTCTGCAGAAACAGAAGAACCCATGCTAAATTCATGTGGAATCTCAAGGGACTCTGAATAGCCAAAATGATCTTGACAAAGAAGAACAAAATTGGAGGATTCAACACGTTCTGATTTTAAAACTTACTACCAAGTGAAAGTAATAAAAACAGTGTGGTACTGGCATCAAACAGACATGCCAACCAATGGAATAGAATAGACAGCCCAGAAATAAGCCCTCACATGTATGGTCAAATTATTTTAGGCAAGAATTCCGAGACCACTCAATGGGGAGAGGACAGTCTTTTTAACAAATGGTGCTGGGAAAACTGGAGATCCGCATACAAAGAATGAAGTTGGACTCCTACCTAACGTCACATAGAAACATCAAAATGGATCAAAGACCTAAATGTAAGACATGAAACAATAAAACTCTTAGGAAAAAACATAGGACAAAACCTTTACAACATTGGACTTGGCATTGATTCTTTTGGATATGACACCAATGGCACAGATAACAAAAGGAAAACTAGACACACTGAACTTCATGAAAATTGAAAAGTTTTGTACATTGAAAGACAATATCAGTAAATAAAAAGGCAACTCATAGAGTAAAATATTTGCAAATCCTATATCTGATAAGGGATTAATATAAAGAATATATAGAAAACTCCTAAAACGCAACAACAAAACCAAACAACACAATTAAAAAATTGACAAAGGACTTGACTAGACATTTCTCCACAGAAGATACACAAATGACTAATAAGCACAAGAAAAGATACTTAACATCACTACTCAGTAGGGAAATGCAAATCAAAACTGAAACGAGGTATCACCTTACACCTATTATTATATGCTACTATCAAAAAACAGAAACAAGTGTTGACAAGGGTGTGGAGAAATTGGGCTTTTTCTACATCATTGGTGGGGATGTAAAATGAGATAGCTGCTGTGTTAGAGAGAATGATATTTCCTCAACACCTTAAAAATAGAATTACCACATGGCCTAGCAAATCTACTTTTGCCTAAAACCCAAAAGAATCAGAAGCAGGGTCTTGCAGAGATATTTGTACCACCTATATTTATAGTAGCATTATTCATGGCAGCTAAGACATGGAAGCAATCCAAGTGACCATGAACAGAAGAATGGATGAGCAAAATGTGGTATATACATACAATGGAGTATTACTCAGCCTTAAAAAGGAAGGAAATTCTGCGAAGTGCTACAACATGAATAAACCTTAAGGACATGATGCTAAGTGACATAAGCCAGTCAAAAAAGATACATACTGCATGATTCCACTTATATGTGGTATTTATAGTAGTCAAAACCTTAGAAACAAAGTAGAATAGTGGTTCCCAGGGGCTGGGTGGAGGGGAAAATGGGGAGTTGTAAAATGGGTATAGAGTTTCAGTTTTACAAGATGAAAATAGTTATGGAGATGGATGATGGTGATGGTTATTCAACATTATAAATGTATTTAATACCACTGAACTATACACTTAAAAATCTCTGTGTCTTTTAATTCATCCTGTCAAGACAGAACATCTGATCAGTCACCTGCGTCAAGTGTCTGTGCCTCCTTTTACTGGTAGGATGATCCTGGGTGTGTGTGTGTGTGTGTGTATGGGGGGTACGCTGCACTGGAGGTTTTCAAGGTTGGGATCCCAGGGTAGGGAGAACCTTCCCAGGAAGAATGGATGGAAAGTTTCCCCAGGAAGCCTGTGAGTGAGAAAGACAGTAAGTCTACCTACCACAGCATTGTGGGCCATGAAGAAAAGTCTATACTCTTTAGTAGACATTTACAGAAAGCAAGAGAAAAACCATCTGTTAAAAACACAAAGTTATCATTTTAACATTTAAGGCAATTCTCATTCATGACTCCAAAACATAACCACTGTAAGGCTGAAGCAATTAGAATATTTTTTGCATTGCTACTGATTTTGAATTATTTAAAACTAAGTATGTGTGGGAATTATCTTAGAAAGAAAACACTAAATTAAACATTTATCCTTAACTGTGGCAGAGGAGGCTGGCTGTACCAGCAGAGCCACTGGATAGAAGGAGACGAAGTCCCTGAGTGACAGTATGGAAGAGTGTACTCTCCCACCCTCATTCACAGTGCATGGGATATAGATGGGAAATTTATCTTTTAATCAGGCAACTAAAATTTGGAGGTAGTTTGTTAAAGCAACTAGTGTTACTTAGAAAATGCAAGTGGAAATGATGTGCACCTGTCCAGGCCTGGACATGCCACCCCTCAACTCTGCAGAGAAGGGAGCTTACCCAACCCTGGAGTCTGGGGCCCTGAGTGACTGAGTGGAACAGGGATCCTGTGGGTCTCTTCACAGCACAGTCCTGCTATGGGAGCCAGAACTGAGTTTCTAATGTGCTTTAGTAAACAGACATTTTGGGGTTTCTTGTTACAGCTCTTCATCTTCCCTCAGTAGCAACCAACCGTTCCGGATAAGTGAGAATTTCTTGTATACAGTATTGCTCTGATATTTTATAGTTCCATGTATTTTACCAAATTTCTCTAAAAATTTCACAAGAGAATCTTTTCCTTCTTGGATACTTACAGGTTTGTTCATTTTGGGTTGAAGACAGCTCTACTTGCATAAACTTACTGCTTAAGAAATTATGTAACATTAAAAATAGAAACATGAGAATTCACAAAATAGAGAAAACCAAAAAGGAAAAGTAAGATCCTATTTTAGTGAAATACATATAATAAATTATGGAATAAGGCACCGAGAGTAGCTAAGTTTTTAAAAGCTGGATGTCAGGAAAGAGGCTCTTCTCTTTATCCTCAATGAATGCATTTGCTAAGCTGTCGCCTTGACTTTATGTTAGCTTCTTAATTTTTCTTCTTCCAAATGTAAACCTCTCAGCCTATATAACATTATGGATATTGAAAATATTTATAGGTGTGAATAGCTGAAAATGACACAGGCCACCAGAGAATATATGTGATTTGTAGCTAAGACAATATGCAGAAAACACTTCAGAGTAGTAAAAAAGCTTACAGCACTATTTCTAATTCAAAATGTTAGTTTTGAATGTTATGTTTATTGTATTATTCAGTGTACAAAAAAATGTGAATTTCTGAGTACTGACTTTTTCAGGGCCTAGAAATTAATGTTTATCTGAAATAAGTACACAATAACAATGAATTAATTATGCTATAGAGCTGGAATACCTAACATCAAACTTTAACTGGGTTAGACATGGAAACCCGGACACTGGTAAAAAAATTTTTTTCTCTGTTAGTAAATAATCCATTTATTCTTTAAACTTTGCCTAAGCCATTTCAGTAAAACTATTTTCATACTCCCTATAGCATTTTCCGCTTTGAAAACTTATGGTTTCATTTTTTTCTGTGTTTTTTCTACGTTGAAATGACTATGTTTTTAAAAAATCCACTATTACTTATTAGCAACATAAATGATTTTGTGCTTTTCGAAGACACCAATGTCATGTTCCAGTTGCTTCATTTCTTCTTCCAGCTTCTGCTTGCGGATCTTCTTTGATATGGAGTCGATGAAGACCGAGAGGGACTGGAATTCTTTGTGCACCTCTTCCCATTTCTTTTTCAGCCCCTGTAAATGGTAAAGGAGGTGTTACATCCCAAAGTAAAGGGCAGGAGTAGAGTGAATCGCAAAGAAAACTGTGCTGGTGAGGAAAAATGTAAACAGGTAAAGAAAACTGACAAAGATAACTAAAAAATGATATGTGTTTATCAAATTCTTGGCCACAATAACAAAACATACTGCACAGAGGCCAAATCCTGTCCTTGACTGTGTGCTCAATTCCCATTGTGGGTGTTTATTTTCTTTGTTTTTAATGTTACTGCACTTGGTTTTACCATCAAATATGCATATACAGAGTTATGAGGAGTATGAAACTAAGCTCGTAGGAAATGATTTGGTAAAAACGACTTAGAATTGATATCCCCACGCCAAAACAAAAATTTATGAGCAGCAAATTATTCCTTATAAAAGTTTTTAGTTTTTTTTTTAAGATTTAGACAAAAAAAATCTTCATTCTTCAATAGAGAAATCACATCACAACACTTGATTCTGACTTACATGGCCATCTTTTCTTATATCTGCCTAAATGAAGTTGCACAAAATGCCAAAATTCAATTTAACAAAAGATGACCTTTTACGTGTTTGCTATCTTAGAAAGAACTCTTCCTCCATATAGTTAAGGAATCTGTACTTCCTATTAGTTTATTTTAGAAATGATTGAAATGTCATTACATTTAACACATATGCTAATTCAATAATGTAATTAATGTTTTATGTTCTCAGAAACCAACAAATTCAAACTTAGGATCTCTTAGGAGCAATAAAGGTTATTTCCATCTCTGCATAGTTATCATTTCTTATCACAATGGCACTAGAGGCCCCACTGACAAAATGGTCTTAAACTAATTGAACTCATGCAATGAAATTTTATAAAGTAATGCTTTCTATTATTCACTCTAGATCCTCAAATCATTTTATTTACACAAAAATTAAAAGTAAAACTGAACGTAGAATTTAAAACATTGTCTTGAAATTATGATCCCTGACACACAGATGGAAAAGAGCTCCCACACAAATGTAAACCAAAGGAAAGCTGGAGTAGCTATGCTTATATAAGAGAAAGTTGACCTTAAAACAAAGACTGTAATAAGAGACAACAGGCATTACATAATGATAAAGGAGTCAATAAAACAAGAGGATATAACATTTGTAAATATTTATGTACCAACATAGAAGCACCTAAATATACAAAGTAAATATTAACAGATTTTATAGAAGAAATAGACAGCAATACAATAATAGCAGGGGCCTTTAATACCCCACTTAATATCAATGGATAAATAGTACTGTCAGAAAATCAGTAAGGAAACACTGATTTTAAGTGATAGGTTAAATCATATGGACTTCATAGATTTATACAAAACTTTCCATTCAAAAGCAACAAATACACATTCTTCTTAAGTATACATGGAACATTCTACAGGACAGATCATAGATAAGGTCACAATTCAAGCCTTAATACATTATAGAGGACTGAAATCATATCAAATATCTTTTCTGACAACAATAGTGTGAAACTAGAAATCAACTATTTGAAGAAAATTAGAAGATTCACAAATATGTGAAGATTAAACAATATGCTACTAAACAAGCAATGAGTCAAAGAAGAAATAAAAAGAGAAATTTAAAAAATACCTTGAATCTCACAAAAATGGAAGTATAACAACATGGAAATATAACATACCAAAATTTATGAAATGCAGCAAAAACAGTTCTAAAATGGAAGTTCACAGTGGATAAATGCCTACCTCAAGAAATAAGAAAAATCTCAAACAACCTAACTTTAAACCTCTAGGACCAGAAAAAGAAGAACAAACAAAGCCAAAAGTTAGTAGAAAGAAGGAAATAACAAACAATAGAGCATAGATAAATGAAATAGAAACTAAAAAGACAGTAGAACAGATGAATAAAATAATAGCTGGTTCTTTGAAAGGATAAACAAAATTAATAAAGCTCTAGCTAGATTCACCAAGAAAAAAAGAGAGGACTCAAATAAAATCAGAAATGAAAGAGGAGATATTATAATGGATACCACAGAAATACAAAGAATAATGAAGACCACTATGAACAATTATATGCCAACACATTGGACAACTTAGAAGAAATGAGTAAATTCCTAGAAACATACAACCTACCAAGACAATCATGAAAAATGAGAAAACCTAAGCAGTCCAATAATGAGTTAAGAGATTGAAGCAGTAATCAAAAACCTCCCAAGTCCAGGACCAGATAGTGAATTCTACCAAACATCCAAAGAATTATTACCAATCTTTCTTAAACTCGTACAAAAACAGAAAAGAATGGAATTCTTTCATACTCATTTTACAAGGACAGCATTATCCTATATCAAAACTGGACAAGGATGCCACAAGAAAAGAAAATCACAAGCCAATTATCTCTGGAACATAGATGCAAAAATCCTCAACAAATTATTAGCAAACTGAATTCAACAGTACATTAAAAGGACCATACACAGGCATACTTTGGAGATATTTCAGGTTTGGTTCCAGATCACTGCAATAAACTGAATATCCTAATAAAGTCAGTCACATGAATTCTTAGTTTCCCACTGCTACATAAGTTATACTTACCCTATACTGTAGTCTATTAAATGTGCAATAATACCATTATGTCTAATAAAATAAACACCTTAATAAAAATAATTCATTGCTAAAATATGTTAACCATCATCTGGTTGTGCAGGATTGCCACAAATCTTCCATATGTAAAAACCTCAATATCTGGAAGCACAATAAAATGAAGTGCAATAAATCAAGGTATATCTGCACCAAAATCGAGAGGGATTTATTCCAGGAATGCAAGGCTGGTTCAAGTGTCTGCAAATCAGTCAACGTGATACACCACATTAATAAAATAAAGGATAAAAACCATATGATCACCTCAATTGATGCAGAAATAGCATGACAAAATTCAACCTCCATTTATAATCAGAACTCTCAACAAAGTGCATATAGAGGGAACATACCCCAACATAATAAAAGACCAAACATATATGACAGGCCCACAGCTACTATCATACTCAACAATGAAAAGACGAAAGCTTTTCCTCTATGATCACATCCAAAAATGTCCACTCTCACCACTTTCATTAACATAATATTGGAAGTCCTAGCCAGAGCATGGGAATGGAATAATTTAAAACTACTGATTAAAAAAAAGAGAAAGAAAGAAAATATGTTCCTTGAAAACCATGGCCACAGATTTAGATTCATGAGCATATTAGAAGTGTCCTATATAATATCTTCATAATGAGCCCTAGTACAAATTTAGTCTCGTAGAAACTTTTTGGGGACAAGATAGCTTCAGTGATTTATTTCCATGCTCAGGTAAAAAAAGATGACAAAATTGGGCACATTTTATAGGAAAACTGGTTGAGAGAAAAGGTCACAAATGTTGAACTCTTCCTAAGTGAGATTAGGATTTGGGAAAGGAGAAAAGACAGAAGGGAAAGTATCTTTCAAATTTTAAAAAGAGGGGAATGAATTAACACAGTTCTTGATATTGTATGAGAAGTATTCCAAAAAGAAATCCTCAAAAGAATTCTATTTTTCCATAGCCTTTCATTATGAAATGGGCTATATGTTTCCACAGCGCTCCATAGGAGTGCCTATTGCAGAAAGGAAATCTATGTATTTAGATACTTTGAAATATCAAAGGTTTCTCACAGCTCATTGGGTGATATTTCCCTATTACTTGTGGTCACAGCAGCTACACATTTTGCAGTATTTCTTTTTAAAGAATACTTTGCTTTATCTTCCAGTGTGTACAGTAATATTTGGATCAAAGTCAACAGCTAGGGATGGGAACTAAATGCGATTAATATTTCATATTATATTGAAATAGCCTCTTTTCTGTTTTTAAGAGGGTTTTTTTTTTTTGGTTATTTCATCTTAAAAAATGTTTTATCCACTGCAGCAAAGAGATTTTCCCATATTTTTATTTCTTAATTTTTCTCTCTTTTAGTTTGGCACCGAAATAATACTGCTAATTTTGGAAAAGTTCCACACAGGGAGAAGCAGTCATAAAATAAATAAGAAGTGCCTTCAGTTTCAGGCTCCTTCTGTCTCCACCCCACCCCATCCATTCTGCACCTTCTTGTCCTGCCCTGTGACTGGGGTGGGGTGGGATGGGGTGTTAATTCCTGTGGGCTGCTCCTCCCCCAGCGCTTTTGCCCTCCAGCCTCTCCCTGAGTTCAGCCAAGGAAGGCACCAGTGGGAGAGGAGACAGCGAGCTTGGGGCCTTTCTTTCCCCCTCATTTGACATGACCTGGACATGATCAGCTCTTCCGTTTGTGACTACAATGCCTATCAGGGCCCCTCTTCCAGGCTCCAGCTCTCACCCGGCTCTGGTAATGCTGTTTGTTCCCCTGCCCTTCAGCCTAGGGTGGTGGTGATTTCCACCGCCCCTGGTCCTGGTGCCTCAGTGTTCCTTGTTGGTTCCCTTAGCCCAGCTTCACTTCTGAAAATAGTTCCTCCATAAATTCTCTTCGGAATCCCAGCCCAGGTTGCCTTCCACTTCTTGCTGGATCCACGGCAGACAGAGCTTCCGTCTGTCACCTCCTATGCACGTGTGTATAACGTGGTGGGAAAACACTGGCCTGGGAGTTGGTTGATGTGAGTTTTAGTCCCTCTTCAGCTACCTGATAATTTTGCGACCAGAGCAAAGGTAAGCCAAACTGCAAGTTCACTGACAGTAAGGACCACATTTGCTTTGCTCACAGTAGTATCTCCCGGGCTGGGTACAATGCCCAGAACAGAGAAGATGTTCAGTAGATGAATGGATGGATGAAGGAACAAATAAGCCCACTTAATACAGTTGCATTTTATATCCTCATCTATGAAATGAGAAGTTTGGCATCATTAGACCAAAAGATCCTTTCCAGAATAATGAGATTGTTATTTCATGAAGAATGAGCAGAATGTGTCCTCCTCGGGGACATGTAACCATGCTGTCATATAACTATATGCGACTCTTAACCAGGGAGGGGAGCAGGGTTCAGGGCTTGTCAGGAGCATAGCTAGTGGCTCTGTTACCATGGCAGCTACATGACCTGGCTAACAAGGCATCCAACAAGGGAGGGTTAGCTGTTGTCCATCAACGTGGACGCAAAGGAACTCTGTAAGTGACCATGTTAGGAAGCTGAGACTTGCTTAACCACCTCAGCCAAGAAGGTGCAGGGTGGAAGAGCCTTTTCCTTCTGGGGGAAGTTCTTCCTCTCTTTATTTTTCAGCATTATTTTAGATATAAAAACCTGGCTTTCACAAAAGCATGTCTATTTTAAGAAAGGCAGAATCCAAATGAGAGAGGGGGAGGGAGAGAGGAAGAGAGGGAACCAAACAGCAGTGCTCTTCCTGCAAGGGACATACTGTCCCACCTGCACATCTGCCAGCCTTCTTGCCTGCCTGTCTTCCTTTCCTCTTTCCAGCATACCATTATGAAACACCTGTGTTTATACTGGGCACTGGGTTAGGCACTGGGGAGACTGATAACAACAAAGAGACACAATTCTTGCCCTCAGGCCACTCCTGCTGTCTGGGAAACCCTCTTACTCTGCAGCTTAAGGCCCAGCTAAAGACCTACCTACATCCTGCAGTGAATGTTCATGCCTTGGAACCTGGTAAAACATATGATCTGTACTCACACAGAATCCTACCTCTATATGTACGCATATACACAGCATCTCTCATCAATTAAATTACAACATTATCCATACCAGAAATTTTATCTTATGCCTCTTGTGGCTCAGCATGATACTCTGCAGAACAGGCATTTAATAAATGTCTACTGATGACTGTGTTGACATTGATAAAACATTAAGAATTTAAAACAGCATATGAATCCATTTTTCAGTAGAAATTAATGCAGTAAGACTTTTTTTTTTGTTTTTAAAAGGTCACTAGATAAAGCTTTGTAGAAATCTTTCAAACTAACAAAACAAAGACTAAAGTGCTATTTTTACCTCAATAAGAAAGAGCATGACTACAGAAGAGCATAAGCAGCTGATTAATAAAAGTCCTCTAATGATGATGGAGCAACCCTGATCACATTCCCTGATGTCTGAAATGCTTCAAATTAAGTCTCATATTAAAAACTCCAATGTAAGTGTCTTTAAGTCTATCTTATTCAAAATAAAGAAAACATATAAAACCTAGCACCTGGTTATTTTGAACTCTGGACATTTGGCTTAGAGGAAAGAAAAATAAAGTTGGTCTAGGGACAGTTCCAATTATTCTAGAGCTCCACCTAGTGAAAAAAACCTCTATTTTATGGATTTTTTTTTAAATGCAGGGACATGAGAATGAAAATAATGCTCTTTTGCTTTATTAATGCATGTGTGTTGCAGGAGAATGTGAGCTTGCTTACAATACTACTTCAGGAAAAAACAGCAGCTCACCCAGTTGGAAACAAATCATTATTCAATAATCTCTATGTTACAACTTTTTGCTCTCCCCAAAGAGCCAGCTTTGCTGTGTTTAGCTGCCACTGTAACGAAAAGAGGGTGTTCTGATTTCAAAATCAAAGTGCTGGCCTTAATAATCATTGATGGCGGACCTTGCTTTTGAGATGTTCTAAAGACTCACACGTGAATGTACATTACAGAACACTTACTTGCAGAACTGCCTCCCTTTCTTCGTCAGATACCCTTTTAATCGCTCCTTTCCTAAGGTTTTCTTGGATATAGTTATCATACTCCTCCTGCGCTTTCTTCGCTTCCTTATTTCGCTTACATATATATTCAGGCGTGACACCATAATCCTTAAAAGGAAAAGATAAAAATAAAACCCAACAACCTGAAAGTAATCTTACATATGTGTACATACCAACTGATGATCAGGAGAAAAAGACATATTACAGACGTAAAGCCTTTGTTCAAAACACTGCACATTGAAATAAGTCAGTGACTTTTTTTTTCCCTATTGGGAACTAGTGGATTCTGGTCATTTAAAACCACCTGCACTGCTATTGTGGCCCTTTGTTTTCCCTCTTCTTCCCAGTGCCTGTTCTTGCCTGGTGACTGGGCCCTTACTTTACCCTTCAGAGTTGGCTTTTCTTTATTTCTTTAAGGTGCTTCAGCTTTTACCTTGAACTATCTTGAGTATCTTGAGGTCTGTTTTGCATGCTCTTGTTTAAAAAAAAGAAGGTAAATACTTCCAATGCATTGTAAAAACAAAGTGAAAGATACTAAGCACATCTGCTTTAAGAAAAAAACTGACTTGGGCCCCTAAGGCGGTTTTTGGAAATGCAGAATACATTTTTAGGCTCCTGGGCTGCTTACAAGGACTGATGCTGAAGCAATCAGCTGTGATTCTTTCAAGCTAGTGAACGTGTTGACACCACTACGTAGAGAAAGAGGACTGCTCCCTGTTCATCCTTCAAAAAATTATTTGAGAATGTACTTGGTGCTAGCTACACTAAGGAAGAAGCAAGGCAAAGTTTCTGTCCTCACAGAATGTGCATTCTATGGTGAGAGGAACTCAGCAAAAATAAAGTATTAACTTGTGTGTGTGTGTGTGTGTGTGTGTGTGTGTGTGTGTGTGTGTGTGTGTGTGTGTGTGTGTGTGTGTGTGTGTGTGTGCGCGCATGCGCATGTGCCAAAGCAAAATCCAGTAAGAAGAAAGGAGAGCTATTTTAGGTAAACGATGCCAAGGAAGACCTCTCTGAGGAAGCAGCTGTTGAGATGGTAGGCATTAGAACTGTTTACAAATATTCTGGTTCCTCTCCTTCTAGGCACTTGGCAGGACAATGCTTTCCCGTTCCCCTTTGAGTAAGATGTAGTCATGTGACCTGAATTACTCGATGTGGACGGAAGTAACCTTTGCCCTCCTTGGGTCTTGTTAACCATAGCATAACCTAACTTACCCCTGACTGAGCCAGGGGTAGAAATCCTAGTTATAAATGTGTTCTGGGAAGTTGCAAAGCACTACACAAATAAACTCTTAAGAGCTCAGTATTCTGGTAAGTTAGTTCAAGGGTAATCAGTACAATCAGTTTCAGGAAACAGTGAGGGCAACACCTCATTTCAGCTCAGTACAATCACTGATGTTCATAATGTTGATTTTGCATCATCACAAAAGATTAAACTATGTTTGGCATACTCTGTTTAGGAGAAAAAACTATCTCACAAATGGGTAAAAGGTGCAGTGATCTGAAATATTTGCATGTGCGGGATCACTGAAGAATTAATCATAACATTAATAATTGCATATATTATAAGAGCCACTCTTGATTGAACATTTATTAGGTGCCAGGTGTTGCATCAACTGCTTAATATAGTTTACATCACTTAATCCTCACTACAGTGCTGTGGTAAATCCAGTAACTTGTTCAAGATCACAGAGTTAAGTAAGTGGCAGAGTTAGAATCAGAAATGCTGCCTCACTATTACTGCTGTAATACTCAGGCAAACATCCAGGCTTCAGTTTGCTTACACAAACTGTCCTCGTGGCACCAATGGACATGTAATATTTTATTTGGAGCTAAAACATGAGGTTCACCCACTTTTTAAAAAGTGGCATTGCCCTTACAAGGACTTACTATCTCACTTACCAGTAATAGGTTTTAAATCTTAACTCTAATAAGTGGCAAGTAAGTTGAATTAGTCCTTCATGAGCCCTGATGGCTTAGCCAGCTGGAGTACATACACTAGGAGCAAAGAATTGCATGGCTCGGTGAACAAGCCCAGGTGGACTAACCTAATATTTTCCTGTCTCCAGGATGGAGACTCTTAATTTTCTGTTCAACGCAGAAAGTGTACTAAAGCAGAGAGATTAGGCAGAAGGCCGCCAGAAGGAGGGGCACAGTGTGTGGCTGTTGGTGGCATGACCATCAAAAGAGGAGCGGTTTTACACAATAGTGGAGAAAGGATGGACTGTGAGTGGCTTTAAAGAGCCAGAAGAGTGACATTTCTGCTTTTCCACACTCTGTGGGGCAAGGACTACGACCAGCCTCCGGGGGCCACAGAGAGATGAAGTTTCCGGAGAAGCCTGAAGTCTCTGTTGGCATGTGCTGCCGACTGCTGGATCCTACTAAGGACTTCCAAGGTGTCTCAGCCAACTGAGTGACGAGGGTTTCTCAGGGAATAAGCAGTGCTCCCTGACAACAGCTCTGAGGTTCCTGTTTTGATTCTGAACAGGCACTGGATTTATCATGGCAGATCACTGGACCACCTCAACACATGCCTCTCCTACATCACTGTTGCAATTCCTTTTTTCTCTTCCTTTCTTCCCCCTTTCCTTCCTTTCCTTTTTGAAATATGTTATATCATGCATTATTATTCTTTAGGGTTTTGCACTTGTCTTTTGCTATATATGTTTCCAGCAATTTTGTGCTCTAGAAGCATGCAAAGTAAAATAAGTTTTATGTGAGGTTTTTTTGTAAGCTTTCTTTTTAAGTTGATTTTTTTTTTGGTGGGGGGGAAGTAATTAGGTTTATTTACTTATTTATTCTAATGATGGTATTGGGGATCGAACCTAGGACCTTGTGCATGCTAGATGTATGCTCTACCACTGAGCTGTACCCTGCCCATCTCTTCTGGTAAGCTTTTTAAATTTTAAAGTTCTCTACTGAAACAAACCCAAGCTTCTACAATTTTCAAAAGTGAAATTATATTCCTATCTGATAAGCACTTTTTCAGATAGAAATGAAGGTCCTGAAAAGACTATTGTACAGTACTTTCAAGGTCTGCTTTACTTTAAACGAAACACAAATGAATATATTCAGGTCAAAAAAGTACTGTGAATTATTCACACTACACTAGGATGTGTGTAGGATAGGATGGATGGTTCTAAAGTTGTTTTCCTCTTCTCTCATTCTGATACCAAGATACTGCAAACTGATGGCTAAATCTTAGGCTCTTCTAAAAGGTCATTCCTTCTGGATTTACAGTAATGACTGGGCTTCTTATGACATTTCCACCTCACCAAAAATGAGTATCTTTTAGTGAATGTTTGTTAAAATTGTTAAATATATTAACAATGCAAGTTAAGGGAAGCAATCAGAGCTTTCCTCTACTGAACCACATGTTGTTATTCATTCCAAATTTTCTGTAATCTCATCCCACTAGATTTAGACCAAACACAGGCTGCAGAGAAATAAGAAGTGTCAATTTAGATAATAGGATTGTCCAGTGAGAGCACAATTTTTCTTATTGAGGTACAGTTGGTTTACAATAGTATATTAGTTGTAGGGTATACAACATTGTGGTTCAAAATTTTTATGGATTACACTCCATTTAAAGTTACTATAAATTATTGGCTATATTCCCCATGCTGTATAATATATCCTTATAGCTTATTTATTTTAACCATAGTAATTTGTACCTTTTAATCCCCTACTCCTGTGATGCCCCTTCCCCTCCCACTCTGCCCACCAGTAACCACCAGTCTGTCAGTGAGAGCACTATTAATGATCACATAGAGAATCATTATGAATAGCATATTTAAATTACTGGAATCTCAGGTCTCATTAATATAACACAAGACTACCTTTTTATTGATGTACTTCGGAAGCAGTCCTGAAGTTTCAAGGTCATGCTTGTCTCCAGTTCTTCTGTCAACATAAACTGGTTTAGGCTTTTTAGCCACTGCCATAATGACATCGGCTGCATTTGTATTTATAAAATTTTTTTCACACTGTATTCCCATGACTGGATGGTCAGTCCTCAAAGGCACAGGAGGCTTTCTGGGCTCGTTTCGATCAAACTTTTTTTCTGCTGAACATAACATTCCCTTGTTAATATTAAACTATACATACACATTGCTACTCAGTACTATTTATAGCATCCAGCAATTTTACCACTAGTATATTAGAGTTGTATTAAGAATATATTCAACTATTTAAGGTAAAAATCAGTAATCATAAATGCAAAAAGTTAAGTGTAGCAGTCAATTAATATGCTGAAGAACAATATAAACATCTATGGGAAGAAAATAAACACCTCAAATCATATATTAGCTAACTAATGCATTTTTATTAGCTATTATGAAAATATTTTCTTATAAAGAGTTCAACAATAAATGTTCAGTTTTCCCACTGAAAAAAGTTCAAAGAAACATTAAAACTCTTCTCTGAGTACTTTCAATATTACTAATAATTTCTTCTTCAGAGGAAAGTTACCATAAAATCACCAAGTAAATAAATCAAACTTGGTGTATTGAAAGTCCAAGAACTTGTGAATTTTTTTCACTAAAATTATTATTATAAGGTATAAAAACCATGTAATAGCTATGTACCTAACATGCAGCTTAAGACAGAAAAGATTACCAATACTGTTGAAGTTTCCTATTCTTTCCTCCCCGACTACGTCTCACCTCCTAAAATAACTACTGTCCAGAATTTATCTTATTTATTTCTCTATACCACATTCTCTTCATTAGCAGCAGACCAAACTGGCCATTTTTACACAGCCTCTGACTCATCTGTTTTGATACAGGACATCAAAATAGTTTGTCAAAATGCTAAAATGTAAAATAGTTACAATTTATTTTTAAGAACCGAAGGCAACAACTATCTCGACAAAACCTTACTCAAATCTTAACCCCATCAGATTCATCAAGGCTCCCCCATTTCATTTAACTCTTTTATTGTCCTAACGGTCTTAGAGATCTGAGAGAGTTAAAGCCCATACTCAAACCTATAGTGACCTGGTAATTGCTTCAACAACTGATAGTAATGGTTGTAATTTTCATCTCTTTGAGAAAAGACTAAACAGGGTTTAGATGCCAAACAATCTTGCCCATTGGGGTTTAGAACTCTTCTTATAATAGCTGTTTGCTATTGAAGTCATTTGGCTAGGGACAAAGATGGTGAGACATGCATGTGGTGCTGGAGGTGGGGCTTTATTGGATAGTCCAAGACGTAGTTCAAGACTCCTGTACCATCCAAAGGAAAGTCTATTTGGAGGGCAACTTAGCATTGTCCATTCTCTTTTTCTACTACATTCTTTTTTTGAGAAACTTTGAAAACAATATTTAAGTTGAAGTATAGTTGATGTACAATATAAGTTACAGGTGTACAATATAGTAATTCACAATTTTTGAAGGTTATACTCCATTTATAGTTACTATAAAATATTGGATATATTCCCTGTGTTGTACAGTATGTCCTTGTATCTTATTTTATATATAATAGTTTGTACCTTTTAATCCCTTGCCCCTGTATTGCCCCTCCCCTCTTCCCTTTCCCCACTGGTAACCATAGTTTGTTCTCTTTATCTGTGAGTCTGCTTCTTTTTGGTTATATTCACAAGTTTGTAGTATTTTTTAGATTCCACATATATGTGATATCATATAGTATTTGCTTTTTTCTTTCTGACTTATTTTCCTTAGCATAATACTCTCCAAGTCCATCCATATTGTTGCAAATGGCAAAATTTCACTTTTTATGGCTGAATAGTATTCCATTACATATATATACCACATCTTCTTTATCCAATCATCTGTCGATGGACACTAGGTTGCTTCCATATCGTGGCAATTGTAAATAATGCTGCTGTGAACACTGGGTGCATCTACCACATTCTTGACTTCTACTTTTTCCTGGCCTCTCAAATTCTGTTTAATACAAGGCAAAATTGCTATCACTGTGAACATTAAATATTCACAGACAAAATAATTTTAGTTAAATTACCTGTTAACACTTTTAATATTAAAAAGAATAATAAAACCTACTGGGTGGTAGAGATTTTTCCTTTGAATGTTTCTTCAGGAAATCCTTTGGGGAAGGTATTTCAAGTTTTGCTGGTCCCATAGTTTTCACTGCAGTTTTAAATTTTTGCATATCCTCTTTTACAGCTGCCTTGAAAACTGATACATACCTAAAATTTAAAAAAAAGTTGCAGCATATATGTTTCTAGTAAAAATTATTTAAAGTTTAAAAAGGAATATACATTTCTAGTTTGTATATGTCTATATTCATTTGGAAATAGCTGTAAAGCATAATTATCTGTATTATCTGAACACTGTCCATTAGGCTTAGGCAAATTAGATAGAAGCTTTCCCCTAAGAAAAAGGTGCCAGGGTAAACATGATCGTAGCATTTCCTTGTTATCCTTTGAATATCTGTAGCATCTATAGTGATGTCACCTCTCTCATCCCTAATGTTGGTAATTTGTCTTCTCACTTTTTCTTTTCTCTTTTTGCTGATAAGTCTGGCTAGGGGTTTATTCATTTTATTGATCTTCTTAAAGAACTAGCTTTTCATTGACTTTCTCTAATGTTCACATGCTTTCCATTTCAATGATTTCTGCACTGATCTTTACTATTTCTCCTTATTTGGGGTTTAATTTGCTTTTCTTTTTCTTTAGTTTCTTAAGGTGCAAGTTTAGATATTTTACTTTAAACCTTTATACACATACACACACACACTATAAAATTCCCTCCAGGTACAGCTTTATAGCTGTAGCCTACAAATACTGATATGCTATGCTTTCATTTTCATTCAGTTCAAAATACCTTTTAAAATTCCTTTATGATATATTCCTTGGCTTAGGAGTTTGTTTAGATGTGTTTTGCTTGGTCTCCAAATATTTGGGGGTGTTCCAGATAACTCTCTGACTTCTAACTTCTATTGTGATTAGAGAAAATATTTCTGTACAATTTCAAGCCTTTAAAATTTTCTGAAACTTGTTTTATGGCACAAACCATGGTCTTTCTTGATAAATGTTCTACATACACTAGAAAAGCAAGTGTACAACACTGCTGTTGACTGGAGTGTTTTATACATGACAATTAGGTCAAACTGGTTGGTAGTATTTTCAAGTGTTCTAACAAGCATTGAAAGAGATTTTGAAATCTCTGACTACAATTTTGGATTTGTCTATTTCTTCTTCTAGTTCTATCGGGTTTTGCTTCATATATTTTGAAGCTCTAATAGTAGGTGCATAGCATTTAGAACTATCATACCTTCTTAAAAAATTTCACTTAATCATTATAAAATAATGATCTTAATACCTTTTAAAATTCTGTATTCTAAAATATACTATCTGATATTAATATAACCAATCCAGCACTCCTTTGATTAATGGCAGCACAGTGCTTTTTCATTCTTTGACTTTTTACTTCCCTATGTCTTTCTTTCTAAGGTGATTTTCTTACAGAGAACATAGAATTTTTATCCTTTATAACAATTTATTTTATTTGGTGTGTTTAGACCATTCACATTAAATGTGATTTTAAAAATGTTTGTGTTTAAATTTACCATCTTGCTATTTGTTTCCTACATATACCATTGTGGGTTCTTCCTTATCTTATCCTGCCTTGTTTTTTGTTGTTGTTTTATTTTGTGGATGTTCTAAGGTTTACAATATACATGTTTAACTCATCATAGCCTACCCTTCAAGTATTATTATATTCCTTCACATAAGGTATAAGAAACTTATGAAAGAACATTTGCATTTACCCCCCCATTTTTATCCTCGTGCTCTATGTGTATTATAAAACCCGTAATTCATTGTGATTATCTTCTCTTTAAAAAGTCAAGTATACTTTAAAGAAATTCAGAAAGATTCACTCATATATTTAACACGTTCAGAGTTTTTTATTCCACTGTGTAAATCCAAATTTCTAAGTCATACCCTTTTCTTGTGCATTATGGACTTTTGAACTTCTGGCTTCCACTGTTTCTGATGAGATATTTGCTGACCCTTTCTTCCTCTGTATGTAATGTTTCTTTTTTGTTTCCTTTGGATGGTTTTTAAGATTTTTCTCTATATTACTGGTTTTAAGAAATTTGATTTTAATGATCAGTTACCTTCTTTTCTCCCCATAGATTTATGTCCTTACACCGGACAGTAGCTGGAATGTTTACTCTGTGATTACTGTCTTGAAATTTGGGGAATTTAAGGGTCCTCACACCTATGTAAAAATTTTTAACTCAATCACATCTTTTTGGGTCTCTATCAACTCTTAATTCTACCACTATTAGATTAAAAAAAAAGACTTTAGAAACTAATTTGTCCATTTATTTTCTTTCACCAATCAAAAAACTAAGGCTCAGAAACAAATAGGAACTTATATTTGATAATAATCTTGGGGGAAAAATAAATCTCTCTTTAGAAGGCACCAGTAGTGTAGTCAGAAATAAAACAATGAACTCCTGAAACCGAGTATCAAGTACCCTAATGCAAGATAATAAAATTGTGATTTTTCTCTTTTCGACAATAAGAAATGTCAGGCTATGTTGTATACCACATCATGTACAATTAGATAAAACACAATATAAATACATACCATATAAACAAGAGGCTAACACAAGAAAATGGCCCTCTCACAGCACCTGACCGCCCTGTGAATTGTGAGATGCCAAATACTTGTATTTCGCAACCTCTTCTTTAAGAAGCTGTCATTCAAGGCTACTTCACTGAGGTAAGAATATGTTATTTTTTTCAAAAGTCATGTGATGCTCAAATGGAACAATTATTTCCCATTCCTGTTTGAAGTGATAATCTTTGCTTACCCACATACCTAGGAGGCTGGGGAGGCTCCTTCCAGTCACTGGGTATGAGGTTATAAATGCTCTCAGAAGAGCACGGTGGATCCATGGCCACCAAATGACTCCTTAAAACTATTCAGCTTTTTTCTCACTAGGCCAGTATCTCCATCCTTTTCTTCACTGCTTCCCTTTTCTTTCCTACTCTCCTGCCTTCTCGAGGAACTGAGGTTTCTCTCACGTATTTCTCCTTTGACCTCTTCTTCGCAGTCCTCTCTTGGGAATAAAACACCCTTTCTTCTGTTACTCTCGGGGCTGCTTAGAGTTGTTGACGGCACGGTTGCCCTGGAAACAGTTACCAGGCACCGGGGTAGGAGAAGGCAGAACCGCAAACTACGTTTCCTCTTTCCCTCTCTGCAGCTCTTCTCCGCCTGAGAAGTTCAATATGTGCCTCTGTGAGTAAAGGGGTGAAGGATGACGTTCCCTTAAAAATGTTGCTCTTTCCTGCCTCTATTTCTGAAGAGAAAAACTCCTGGGAGGCAGCAGGGAAGCGAAGCTGGCGCGCAGGCGTCACAGAATAAGGTCCTTGTGCGCAGGCGCCAGCCCGCTTGGGGGCGGGGCGAGCGGCTAAGGCTACACGGTTGAGAGAGCTCAGGTGGGGGTGGCGCGCAGGCGAGAGTCCGGTAGCGGGTGCGAGGCTGCTCCGGCTGTGGGCGTGGCGCGCGGCCCCGGAGGCCCGCACCGGGCGCAGGCGCAGAGGCCGCTGTGTGGGTGCGGGGCGAGCCCAGCGAGGCCTGGGGCCTGGGCCGAGGGCCAGAGGGGGCGAGCGCCAGGGGTGCGGGGCTGCGTCCCGAGGCGGCACTGGCGGCTCCTGGACGCTCCTTCCCATTTCCTTTCCTTTCCCGCGACTTCTCAGTGTGATTTTCTTGGTGAGTTATTTGAGGAGAAGGGAAAACTGTAGATCCAGTCTGTACCCATCGCATGCGTTTTCCCCTCCGCTCCTTCCCCTTTCCGCTGCTCCGCGGTGATCCCCACGCCCTGTCCTCGCTCACCTTTGCGGCCGCAGGCGTCCCGGGCTCAGCCCTGCCGCTACCTGTGCGAGCGCGCCCGCGCCCTGCCGTCCTCCGCATCCACCTGTCGCGCTCCGTCCTCCCCTCGGCCTCCCGCCTCCCTTCCTCCGGCGCCTCGCCCCTTCTCCGCCTGTTTACCTCGTGATTGGACCCCTGCTCTTAGGTCTTGACTTTGTTTCTTAAACAAGCAGCCGAAACCAGAAGAAGCCTTTTAAACGGGCCCTTGAATTTTGCCCGTTTTTTGATGTCCCTTTTTGAAAATCTTTCTGAGAAGGTTTTATTACGTTTGAACCATTTGTTCTTCCGTGAACCTACTTAGGCCCCTTTGACTGCTGAAAGATGCTCAGTTAGAAGCCTTTGCCATCCCGAAGCTCCAAAAGGCATTGTGGCAACCTTATCGAGGCCACTCTGCCCAAAGGGAGTAAGGATGCTCGAAGAGAAGAAAAGGCCGATTTTGGTCGTCTCACTGCCAGGGTGCTCCGTGGAGGGATCAAAACAGCATGGTGGCTTAGTTAACTTAAAAGGCTGTGCTGAATGTGTAGGGCCTTTATCATCTTGGGCTGTTAGTGAATTTCGTTAGGTAACAGCAAATTTAGTTTCTTTTATCCAGTTGATGAGATTTTAATTTTTATCCCAGGCGTTTAACAAACATTTTATTTCACATGAATGGCACCTTGGGGATGCTCCTGCTGTTCTTCACATCAGATTTTATATTTTCCAAAACGTAATATATGTATATGCCATCTTGCCCTTTTCTTTTCCAATTTGAGTATTTTATGTTTTGGGGTATTTTGCTTAGCACATTTGGAGAAAAATTCTGTTCTCTATATATGCTAAGATTTGAACTAAGGACTCAGAATGATAACACCGTTAGCCAAATGGATAGTCATTGGCCAAAGCTTATACATTTTCTAATTAGAAGGAACGTTTTGGAACTGATTATGCTAATTAGTTACTAAAAAAACCAAGAAGGACAAAGCATGATTTCTTCAGTTAGGAAGCACCAGCTGGTCTTAGCTTGCCTTGACTCTCCTCTGTTAATGAATACAGTAATTTCACTCATGTCATACTTTCTGTGGTTTTAAAAATATGAAACAGAATTTAAAGTCTCACTATAGTGTGTTTAGTGTACAGTCTTAATGAAGTTATTAAATCATTTGGAAAGGAACCTTTTTCCTTTAGATACTTGGTCTTTAATTCTTTTTGCCTTTGAAAGCATGTTTACAAAGAATATATTTCTAATTATTATAATTCCCTCAACATGGCAATCGTGTTCAAGGAAATGCGTATATCCAGTATGTCCACGAGGAATTAGGATTGGTGTACAATTGGAAGTCATGAACTTTTTCTGTTAAGGGCTAGATAATAAATATTTTAGGCCTTTGCAGGCCACATGGATTCATTTGAAACTACTCAGCTCCCCCATTATAGCTCAAAAGTAGCCAAAGACAATAGTTAACAAATGACAAATGAATGAGCAGTGTTGTTCCCATGAAACTGAATTTACAAAAGCAGCTGGGCCAGATTTGACCTATGGATTGTAGTTTGCACAAGACCCTTTATATAAATGGTTGTACATACAAATTATATTTTTCTGCTAAAGATAATCTTAATCTACTTAGATGAATAAAATGGGCAGAGGTGGGAATATAAATAAGACAATTGGGAGGAAAATAAACCCTATCTAAAGAATTTCTTTACAATATTTTTTTAAGTCAAAGAATTGCAAAGGATGCTTAAAGATTCATTTGAATTAGATACTCAAGACCATTAAGAGAATGTCTAATGGCAAAAGGCTAACAACAGGAAAGGCTTAGTCAACTTGGATTCTGAGATGGAGGCACAGATGAGTGGTGAACTTGTAAAATGCTTTAATTGTGAGATCCCTGTGATTACCACGTGGCGCTGAACTGTGGTCCCTTGCCCCTCTCCGCCTGGCTGTTTCAGTCAGCTGACCGATTGGAGGGCTTAAGAGGATTTTTACTTAGTAGTCAGCAGCAGCAAAGCTTCTATCCTTCCCCTGGTTAGTTTATATTCTAGTATATTTGTTTTTTTTCTTATTACTTATTGGAAAACATTTGATTGCTGTAAAAATGCAGAATTTTTTTTAAAACCTCAGAATATCTTTCTTCATGACTTAATCTAGTCCACTATCTGCTTAAGGCAACAAGGCTGCTGTGTGCCTTACAGAGAAAATGTGTATGTCAGATAAGTTTCATTCAGGCCTGCGTTAGCGTGCTGTTGGCTGAGTTCAGTGGTAAAGAATGACTATGTATGTATATTAAATAAGATGTCTTTAAGTGGAAACACACATAAAATATTATGTATTGATCGGTTGGCAAAATGTTGTGACCAGAAGCTCACAGGAACCTAACCCTGTATTTCCCCTGGGAGCAATGATTCGCTATTCACTAATTCGCATTTATGGTGACTTTATGGAACATAACTACCATGAGTAATGAGAATTGACTATTTTACCTCTTAAGTAAAAATTCAGTTTTCAGATAAAAGTTATGTGCTATGGGCATTATTCCATCTTCTCTTGTCCCAGTTTGCTTACAGTGGGTATTGAAACCCTAAAATTAGTTTGTGGCTAAATGTTACAAAACAAAATTTAGTATATAGCTTCTTTATTTTTCTTTAAAAATGATAATATTTGTTACATTGTTATGGCACTTAATAACTGCTTTCTGCTAGTTTCAGGAAGATTTTTATGATGAAATAATACTGATACAGAATTAATGCATTGAACTGTCAGTTTTCTACTTTGGATTCATATAAAACAAAGGAAGAATTATAGTTACAAAAGATAAGGTGATGTTAACATGCATAATATTTGTCTTTCAGTCTTCTACTTATAATGGAGTTGATGTTAAGCATTCAACTCACATAAGGTGGAAAGGATCAGATAAAAGATTTAGTGTCCATAAAACAAACCGGCTGCTCAGGTGATATACAGTTATTACTAATATAGACATCAGAAAATTATGCGTTAGGAGCTAAAAAAGAAGGCACTTCGTGATGTTATAAGCAGAGGCCACCTGAATAAGCGAATCAGACTATTTTATACAGTTTCCGTCAAACAGCTAGTGTTAAAGAACAGTGCCAGAATGCAGTTTAATAAAAGAAATTACTGATAAGGTTCAAGTGTACAGTTCCTCTGGTCCTAGGTTTACTCTAGGGAAAGGATTACACTGTACATGTCAAAACAGTTCTTGATTCACAGATGAGTAGCACTATTTTCTCAGTTTATAAACAAACCAAACCATTAAAAAAAAAAAAACCTTGTGCCTAGATACTCTGATTGAATTTATGTTTTTAGTCCACCATCACTGAGTGACAGTGATTAATATTACAATATATGTGAATATTCCTATGTGCCAGCCACTATGCTGTGTGCTTTGAACTCATTATAAACTCATTTGAATAGCCAAGAGGTACCCATGTGTGGCAGACTTTCTGCACTTTTTTACAGTAGATATTACTACATCCAAATCATGTAGTGATTCAGATGGATTAAACAATTTAAAAGAATAATTCAGACACCCATTTCATAGCTTCAGTTCACTGACTTTTTTCCTCTGATCACTAAACATACAGGTAAATTATTAAAATTTTAGGTGTCATTGGGAAAGGTTTATATTTATCATTTGATTGTATTGTCTTGTGTATTGCTTGATGGCAGAAATTCAGTACTGGTTAGTACAATTCTTTTCTATCATAAGATACACGTGTTGGAAAAAAAGACAGTATTGTAATCTTTTAATAATAGGTTTAGGGAACCATGGAAAGGGTCAGTTTATTATTTTTCTGTACGTAAATGTTTTCAGGTGGATATTTTAATAATAGACTATGTGTGGAGTTTTATGATATTATATGCAGTTATGATTAACTGGAAATTTTTTCCACTTAGAGACCCCACTTTTTGCAAAGATTGACTTTGCCTCAGCATTGACAAACTCTTCCCCCTAAGATTGGTTCCTGTGTGTCATTTTGTAAGTCAGTGGGACTTAAACACATACAAACTGAAAAGCCAAATAAAGAAATGTATCCCTTCTCTTGACAGTTCTAATTTAGCTTATAGGTTAAATTCAGTGTTAGCATAAAATGGTCTAAGTGTTTTATTAGAGAACACAGTTTGAATAGCATAGATGATTAGAGTAGTAAATGTAAATTTTCAGAACACTTTAAACACACCATCTAACATTTAGTAAGACTTAGTTGCATACTGGCTCTACCACAGAACATGTGAAAAGCCCCACTACACGTCTGTAAAGTTAGTCAATTTAAATAAACATTGCTGCAGTTACTAAATTGTACTTTACATAAAAATTTGACTTGTCTGGCATACGTTTGTGTTTTAATGGTGAATATATTTCCAAAGAC